GTGGAACCAGGTATTGAACTCAGGCCCTTGAGCTTGCCAGGGAAGCTCTTATTCTACTGAGCCATCTCCCCTGCCCCTGAAATTTGTTTTATAAAAAAATTAAAAAAATTGTTTTATACTGTTGTATTAAATAATGTGTCTTTTCCCTATGGGCTTAAAATATGTGCATTTATGAATTTTAAATTCCCTTATATATTTGATACTTTTTCTAAATTTAATTTTACTTCTTTGCTCTGTCTGGACATTCCTTAGTTTGCATTAAACTATTTCATTATGTAAAGGGAGGGGGAGAAATCAGGAATTTTTATACACTTGTTCATAGAAAGAATTTCTGAGTTTAGGGCTGGTGAGATAGCTCAGCTGTCTAAAGCGCCTGCTTAGGCAAGCTTAGGCAAGTGCAGGGACCGTGGTTCAATCCCAGGCACTATATGCTATACCAGCTCTGCCTGCAGGGCGGGCTGAGCTGACCACCAAAAAAAAAAAAAAAAAAAAAAAAAAAGAGAGAATTTCTGAGTTTAAAATAATGACATTTTTAAACATCATTGGCTAAAACTCTGAATCATTTTCAAGATACTGTTTAGCATTACTATTCTTTAAAAGTAGGCCAGGGGCTGGGGAGATAGCTCAGTAGAATAAATGCTTGCCTGGCAAGTGCAAGGGCCTGAGTTCAATCCCTGGTTCCACCAAAAAAAGAAAAGTAGGCCTGAAATAACTATTTATTGCAATAATAGTTGACTCATCTTGTGTGAACTGAATTAATTAACTCAAATTAATTGACTAATTATAACTGTTGGCTTACTTCCAATTTTGCTATTAGCCTGGTGCACCACTATTTATTGAAGATTTCTTTATCTCATCTCTGTTATTGGGCTAGAACTTTATATCAGTGGTTCTCAAGCTTGACAGTCATCTGGAAGGACCGTGAAGACACAAGCAGCTGCCACTCTTCTTTCTGAGTGAGGAGGTCTGGGGCAGGACTCCAAAATTGACATTTTTCACCAGTTCTCTGATGATACTGATGCTGCTGCTCTGGGAACCACAGTAAGCTAGAGTAACCTGCCCAAGATCTCACAGTCCAGCAAGAGACAAAAACAGAAATCACAGCTTTTTCTGCTCCCCATCCTTTCTTCAGTGCCCCCTGCCTCAAAATGGTGCAAGAGGTCACGGGGAAGTGACACGGACTATGTCTTCATCTTCCCACAGATCTCTTGTGCTTATGAGATGGACTAACATTTGCTGGCAAACTGACACAGAATGTCATGAGTCCCCAGTGACTTACACAGCATCTCACTTTACTTTCTCCTATTTATGAACAATCTTGCCTTATTCACATTTGTGACCCTATAGGTTTAAAATGTTGAATAGGATAAAAATTCTTGATTTTAAAAACCTAACATGAAATGTCCTAGTGGGATCTATAGCTCACAGTCCTTTACCCCCGTGATATTGCAACAGCAGCAGAAACACCAAAATGACACCTAGGATTTGGAGGCAAATTTATTTAAGTCAGCAGGCACTGATTGAGATCATTTCCAGAATTTCAGTCCCTGATCTCTGGTGGTCTACAGATTATGTGGAATAGGCAAGCACGAAGTACAGAGGCAGAATGGTTGTCATTTGGGGATTGGTGGACTTAATATGCATTGCAGCGACTAGCTATGCATCATAGTGACCAGCCATTTCTAAGAGAAAGGAGCAACCAGATCTGGAACTGGAACTATTACCTGGGCAACTAACAAATGGAAATATACCAGCTGAACAGAGGGGCATTTTCTGTTACAGTCTTAGAAATTGAACCCAAAGCCTTTGTAGTGAACTGTGTACCCAGCCAGCCTATCTTACCTTTTTTTTTTTCAATACATGACATAATCTTGTTAAGTCTCTAAAATTGCCCAGACTAGGCTCAAATATGTGATTCTTTTGCTTCCGCCTTCCAAACTGCTTGAATCGCAACTGTGTGCCACCATACCTAGCTCCGTGTCTTTTTAAATAAGGGTATAAAATGCCTCTCATGCCTTCTTTCTCTTCCTTGTTCCAGATTCATTTTTGTCTAATATTTTCCCCCATAGGCTAAAGAAACTTTGTGAGCTCTATGCAAAAGTCTTGGGCTCCAAAGAAGCTCTGAAGGTAAGGTTGCTTCCAAGCCCTATCCTAAGGATAGAGGTCCTAAATCCTGACATCCAAAATGGCAATGAAAAAGAGCTTTCTTTTTCTCTGGCAATCTTGTAAAAAGACAAAATCTCATTCATATACGTAAACTAACACTTACTGTTCCCCCATGTTCCAACATTAGGAATGGAAGGAAGACAGTTGGATCAGCCTAGCTCAGTTACTTGAGTTTCTTAGACACTGTTGGAAGTAGCCTGAGAAAGTGGTGATCTTCAAATTAATGAAATAGAACTCTGAAGTGGTCAAAGGTGAGATGAGGATGGGTAGGTTAAGGAGTCCACACGGTAGGCAGGCAAAGCAAGTATTTCTGCCTTGGGACTTCTGGTAAGTGTCATAGGACCCGATCATAACCAGTAGTCATAACCACCTCCCTCATCAATGTTTAAAATGACAAATGGGGGCTCTATAACAGTCTGAAGGCTGCTGGGATTTTAATGTTTTGACATAGATTATTCTCTCTCTCTCTCTCTCTCTCTCTCTCTCTCTCTCTCTCTCTCTCTGGTGGAACTGGGGATTGAACTCAGGTCCTTGCACTTGCCAGGGAAGCACTTATTCCATGGAGCCATCTCCCAGTCCCCACCATCTTTCAATAGTAGCTGTTAAATCCAATTATCATTCAAACATTCGAAGACAATGGAGAACAGTGTACAAAGTGACAGTTAAAATGTGAGAAAAATCTAATTCAGGGGCTGAGCATGCTTCTGCACTCTACACCACGATCTGGGTGAGCAGCTACGTGAACAGCTTTAGTGCCATCACTCAAACACTTCCTTTTCTCAACTTTGACGTGGTTCACTTCCTCCTAGTCAAGTTGTGGTGGCTCTTGACTTTGACTTTGTCATATTTGTTCATTGTTTTAAAGCAAATTTTTGCACCTACAATATTTGGATGGCAATGGAATACCCATCTCTGACAAAACTGAACAACAAAGGTGATATAAATGAAGGACAATTTTGTATCTGTATATACAAAATAGTTAGGATAGATACACAGCTACTTTCTCCTAATTCAATAAGAAAGATCTGTACTAGTAGTGTTTGGACAGGATATCATGTCTTCATCTTGTGCTATGAATGACTACTACAAAGACAACAATATGCAATGTATTAATTGTTGTAATTCTCCTACCAACCTGTTTTGAAGCTGTCACATTGCAATTTTTTCCTCAATAAAATCAATAATAAATTGATTTTAAATAAAAACAAAAAAATAAAGCAAATTTTTATACCCCTTTTGGATATGTCCTTTACCTGATATAGATGAAACACATATCCTTAAGGTTTTTTGGAATTGTTTCTCAGCATATTAGCAAAAAATTAATTAATTGGTTTGGAAAGAAACATAATATTAATGAGGACTGTGTTTTATTTCTCTCTTTTGTTTTTGCTAACTATACCATGTAGCAAGTTTTTCATGTATTTAGGACAGGGTCTACAGAGTCTCACGACATAGATCGGACTCATAGTGATACTCCTGTTTCCAGCCTCCCAAGCACTGGGATTACAGGTGCGCACCACCACGCCCAGTCTCAATCACCAGGCGTGGGCCCGGCATGGCATGTGGTGCCATGGATCAAACCCCAGTCCCTGTACTTTGCCTAAGCGGGCTTAGTCTGCTGAGCTATCTGGCCAGCCCAGCAAGTTTAAATATAGTCACAAGCTCCAAACTCCAAGGCAGTGGTGAAATAGCAAAGCCCAAAATATATACAAACTAAAAAATAATTTTATATCTGCTAAAAACCATTAGAATTTGTTCTCTAAAATACTACTCAAAATGTTTTGCCCTAATAGATAATCCAGCTTCTCTGAAGTCACATACCAAGGCATTCTCAGGCTGAAACATTGTGTAACTGAAGTTCTCCAGCAACTTGTGAGATAGTTGAGAAAATTTACTTGAAATGGAAAACATTTATTCTCATATTTCCAAAAGAAATGATCATTTTTCATTGGTGAAAATCTTCTTATTGGAAGAGTGTAGATGAGTTAATTCTTGATAATAAAAATGGAGTTGGGGCAGACCAGATAGCTCAGAGGATTAAGGCACCTACTTAGGCAGACACAGGGACCAGGGTTCCATCCCTGGTGCAGGCCCTGCCCCCAGGAGACGCTGAGAGGGTGACTAGGACTGGGTGTGGTTGCTCACACCTGTAATCCCAATGCCTGGAAAGCTGAAAGCAGGAGGATCACCATGAGTCTGATCTGTGTAGTGAGACCCTGTAGACCCTGTACTAAATACATAAATTTAAAAAAAATTGAGTTGGTGCTGTCGTTGTATGCTTTTAGCATAAAGATAACCACCTGTTTTATTCTTGCCTTACTGTCTACTATGTGGAAAGAAGAACTCACTGGGAGCAAAGAAAAGTGAAAGAGAAGAATAGTCAGGACATGGCTGCAGCCCTCAGATGCCAGGATTGTGACACGTAACCATGTAACCCTTAAAGCTGGGTCTCATGCTTTGTAAATAGGATGCTTTAAGAGTATCTACTCAGGGCTGGTAAAATGGCTCAGTGGTCTAAAGCACCTACTTAGAACAAGCTTAGCAAAGCACAGGAACCACGGTTCAATCCCCCAGCACCACATGCCAGCCAGCCCCGCCCCCTGGTGGGCTGAGCTGGCCACACACACACACACACACACACACACAAATAAATAAATAAAAATTAAAAAAAAAGAGTACCTACTCAAAATTAGCTCCGTGATTGCAAAATTTTTAAACAAAACATCTTTCAAAATCTTGTTTGAATATTTGTGCTATTAAAATTCCATATGTAGGACAGGGGAGATGGCTCAGTGGAATATGCACTTCCCTTGCAAGCTCAAGGGCCTGAGTTCAATCCCCAGTTCTGCCAAAAAAATAAAAAAAATGAATAAAAAAAAATTCCACATGTTCTTGTTTTGACTTTTTCTTTTTATAGCAATATATTTATGGGGCCAAGGAGATGGCTCTGTAGAATAAGCACTTGCCTGGCAAGTGCAGGAGTCTGAGTTCAATCCCTGGTTCCACAAAAGAGAAAAACAAAACAAAACAAAACAAAACCTTGAGAAGCAATATATTTATGATAAAAGTTTCTGTTTAGCTTTTTGTTTGTTTTGTTTTGTTCTTGGTGCTGGAGATTGAACCTAAATTCTTGTATATGCCTGGGAAACACTCTTAACACTGCCTTATTCCTCCAGTTCTTATTTTTATTAAGATTTCAGTCTTTGCAAGATTTAAGTTTAAGTCTTGCCTGTTAACGGCAAAAACATGTTTTCCAAGTCAGTAGTTGTCCAAAAATAATCAAAAGCAGTGCTTCCATGCCACAGAGCACTAATTTATTTACCCAGCTTCTTTTAACAAAGCTCCCTTTCACCAAAAACATGAATCGAATCTGGTCATGCTTTTTCTTCAACAAACATGTTTTTCTGCTTTTTCCCTATGTAACCACACCAGTAAGCATAAGTTCCTTTTAAATTTTTTCTTGAAACCATAAAGCACTAAAAACCTATTAAATAAGTCCAAGTTAAAAATAGAAATAGACAATTGTACTTGATAACTGATACTTGGGACATGCATGAACCAATTGAGAAAACTTTCCTAATTTGAATTTCTTACAAAGGCACTACTATTACTAAAGGCATTTATCTGCTGAAAGATGCATCTTCAAAACATCAAGATAATGAGGCTCTGTTTCAGAAATATAGTCAGCCAGCCCTCTGTATCTGTAGATTCTATTTCTGTATATTCAACCAACCATGGATCGGAGATATTTGAAAGAAAAGTGCATCTTTTCTGAACATGTACAAACTTTTTCTTGTCATTGTTCTCTAAGCAGCATATTACGGCAACTGTCTACATAGCAGTTGCATTGTATGAGGTATTATATGCCATGTAAAGACGACAATTATAGGAGAATGTGGGTTTTATGCAAATACTCTGTCATTTTTTATGAGACTTGAGCATCCATGGACTTTGGCATCCATCAAGTGTTCTGGAACCAATCCTCTTCAGATTGTGAGGATTGATTTCCAATTGGTTCTCCATTATGAAGTCTACTTGACTATGTTTGATTTATTTCATGCTAGATATCATGTTCTAACCTTTGGTCACTCCGTGTGTGATGCTTTTGTCCCTCTGCCTTGCAGCCAGTGCATTATGAAGAGAAGAACTGGTGTGAAGAGCAGTACTCTGGAGGCTGCTACACAACCTACTTCCCTCCTGGGATTATGACCCAATATGGAAGGTAGGGTATCCATCCCCAGCACCACATGCCCTGCCCCCAGGGTGCACTGAGCCGGCGACCGAGTCCAGGCATGGTGGCACATGCCTGTAATCCCAGTGCTCAGGAGGCTGAAAACAGGAAGATCACTATGAGTCAGAGCTACTTAGTGAAACCTTGTACCAAATACATTTTTTAAAAGGGGGCCAGGGAGATGGCTCAGTAGAATAAGCACTTGCCTTGCAAGCACAAGGGCCTGAGTTCAATCCCCAGTTCTGAAGAAAAAAATGAAGATAGAGCAAAAGTGTGCAAAGCTGGAATTGAAACTCCCAGCCCTGGAATCCAAACTCTGTTTTTACCCCTTGCAGAACCGGGGATTGAACTCAGGCTCAGGCCCTCACTCTTGCCAGGGAAGCGCTTATTCTACGGAGCCATGTCCCGGCCCCGGAATCCAAACTCTTAAAAGGTTCATGTCGCTCTTCTCCCTGCTCCTTGTACATACCAAAAAGGAAAAAAAAAATCCCCAAGTTTCTTTGTATCCTATGAATCTCAGGAATAATGCTGTCCTCATTCTGCGCCACAGTGCTGCTTTTCACTCTTCATTCTTCTGCAGGAGCAAACCCTATATAACCAAAGAAGGTTGGAGCATTAGAATAGCAATTTAGATGAGTAGGGCAGCAAGCACCATTAAACCCTCCTTTAAACAGGAGGCCATAAATAAAATTAAAAAAAAAAAAAAGGTATCATAGGGTTGGTGAGATGGCTCAGTGGTCTAAAGCACCTACTTAGAACAAGCTTAGCAAAGCACAGGGACAGCGGTTCAATCCCCCAGCACCACATGCCAGCCAGCCCCGCCCCCTGGTGGGCTGAGCTGGCCACACACACACACACACACACACACACAAATAAATAAACAAATAAATAAAATTTAAAAAAAAACAAAAAAATAAACAGGAGGCCAAGGCAGGAGGATCTCGATATGGAGGCCAGCCTGGGCAACTTAGCAAAACTATCTTAAAATTTGAAAAAGTTTTTTAAAAAGAGCTAGGAATGTAGATCAGTGGTGGAATGCCTCTGGGTCTGATCACCAGTATCAATCCCCCAAAGCAATTTAGATAGTCAGAAGATTCACTTCCATTGTCACACATCTCCTTACAAAGTGTTTAGAACTCAGCAATACTGTCTCAGATGTACCTGTGTAAGTGTGAACACAGATATAGGACTATAATAACGAGTGAATCTACGTAATGAGACCCTCTAGACCTTGCAGACCCTGTACCAAATACATAAAAAGCATGAAGGTGGAGCAAATATATATTTTGCCTCCATCAATGTCAGTTCAACATCAATTCAATGTAAATTCTTTGTGCAGGAGTGAACTTTGGTCTTTGTTCCATTTTGTTTGTGACTGAGACTATGCATAAACTGGAGGAACTTAAAGAACATTTTAAAAAAATTATCGTGGGGGCCGGGGAGATGGCTCAGTAGAATAAGCACTTGCCTGGCAAGCTGAAGGGCCTGTATTCAATCCCTGGTTCAGAAAAAAAAAATACCATGAACAGAAAATTTGGGACGCCACTGAGTTACAGGATGTTATAGTACAGGTTCTCTTATGTCCTCAGTCCTCACTGACCTTGAAGGGCTAGGGCCAAAATGTTGGCTGTCCTTGTAGCCCTTCTTTTTCTCTAGTTTTTTGATCTGCAAGCTTAAGTTGTTAACTATCCAAAAAGTAAAGACATTTAATATGCTGAGCTGTATAAGGTTCAAGTCAACAACTTCTAACATTGTCAGTCCTGTGGATAACCCACTACTATTATGGACTGCTGGACTATATTAGATTATTTTGCTGAATTCATGCACCTACAATATTTAAATGGCAGTGGAATACCCATCTCTGACAAAACTAAACAAAAAAGGGGACCATTTTGTGGTGAAAAAACATATACATGCATATATATG